ACATAGAAATATATATGAAAAAGCTTTGAATATCTTCTTAATAACAACTGGGCCAGAAAAGCTGAAACTTATATAATTATGATCAGTGGGGTAGGGTGGGGTCACAATACAAGGGGTAAATCTAGTAAAGTACAGAATTGTCAAAGCTTCCCAGGTGAGCGATGTGGCCCATGGGCCTCTTGTTATCCTTAGCCAATGTCTTCTTGTGTAGTGTTTTTAAGGCATTCTATTTGTGGGTTAACCCTTAGCTAAAGCGTTATTCATGTGTAGTGTTAAGGGTTTTCATGTTTAGCCTTACTTAGTCTGATGATCATGTGTAGTTTTTTGAAAATGTTTTAGTTATCCTTAGCTAGTGTTTTGTATTTTTTTTATATATATATTTTTCTTAGCTAGTAGTATTCATGTGTAGTTTTCTAGGGTTTTTAATTATTAAACGCTTACTTTGTGTAAATTGTAAGAGTACATGTAAATTTAGAATGTTTTGTTCAAATACAAACAAATCTCAAAGCAAACTTGTCTTAATGCATTGACACTTACAATGAAGTGATATCATTCTCTTTGTTTTGAAAATAATGGGTTAACCCTTAGCTAAAGCGTAATTCATGTGTAGTGTTAAGGGTTTTTATGTTTAGCCTTACTTAGTCTGATGATCAAGTGTACTTTTTTGAAAATGTTTTAGTTATCCTTAGCTAGTGTTTTGTATTTTTTATATATATATTTTTCTTAGCTAGTAGTATTCATGTGTAGTTTTCTAGGGGTTTTAATTATTAAACGCTTACTTTGTGTAAATTGTTAGAGTACATGTAAATTTAGAATGTTTTGTTCAAATACAAACAAATCTCAAAGCAAACTTGTCTTAATGCATTGACACTTACAATGAAGTGATATCATTCTCTTTGTTTTGAAAATAAGTTGTAAGCAAAACAGGTATAAAGAAGTAAAATTGTCCATCCTTGGCGCTTCCCTATGTCTGTTTTGTTTAGATGTTGTTTATGTAAACTTTATTATCTTGAATATTGAAATTGAGTTTTAAAAAATCATTAGGATTGGAATGTAGTATAAGACTGGTTATTTGAAAGTTTACAGGTTAGATGAAATTGACAATTCATCAAGGCATTGCATCTGCTTTTATTTCCTTTTTCAATTAGTTGTACAAATTGAGATTGTTCTGTTTTTTATAACAAACATGTGCACACTTGTTGCAGAGAACAGATGACTCTGTAATATTAACGACACAGAAATATTTCTCCAAAATCTTTTTTGTTATTTGATTGACTTTCCTTCTTCCTGTTGCTTTGTGGCGTTTTTTTGCAAAGAAAACAGTAATCTCAATGGAATCCTCACAGAACATAATGGTATCACTGATCAAAATGCAGTGTCATATCACTGATAAAGATACAAGTGTCATATCACTGCTAAAAATGCAAGTATCAATCACTCTTAACAATACAAGTGTCATATCACTGCTAAAAACGCAAATGTCTATCACTGCTCACAATGCATCTCACTGTAAATCACTGTCAAATCAGTGCTTAATATATACAAATTCACTTCCCGGTTAAAAGGACTACAAAGGTACTGCCACCCTCAGTAGAGCTGGACTGCCATCCTCAGCCAGACATCTTTGACTATCCTTTCTTCCAGGAGTAATGTAGGAGCATCTCAAAGGAATAATTCCTCTTCCTTTTGAGGTCTGCTAGCCAGTCTTCAAATGACTGTGTGGCTATTTCAACACAGACACATTTCCATAATATTGCTTATGCCCAGGTGTATGTCGGTCTTTCTTGCACTTACTGCAAAGAATTCCACCACTTTTTCGCACATACTTCCTTTGGGTTCTTCCAGCTTCCTCTTCTTTTCTTTTCCTGTACCTGAGGGTGGAATATGATACAGGCGCAGGTACTGCTGGATTGCTGGTACTGTGAAGTAGGGGGGTTGTGGGTGGTGGAATCTGCAACAAAACTGGAGGTGGTTGTTGCTGCCCTGTGCCACGTGTTCCAGATTGGTAAAGGCTGTACTTGTTGAGTGGGAACTAAGTTCAACATTGCTGGAACAGGTAAAGGATCAGAAGGTGGGGTCACTTTTCTTCTCTTTACTTTATCATGATTGCAGTATTTGGCGGAAGGACAAACTCATGAAGATTATCAGATTTTCCAGAGCACAAGGACGCAGGCTTCTGAAGAGGTGGCGGTAAACTTGCAGAAGCTGTTACTGGTGGCTTTGGGGGTACTGCTCTTTGTTCCAATATGTACCTGTCTTGTCTCTTCCCACGCCGATTATACCTTAAAATAGAAATAAATGTGCTAGTATTTTTTTTTCACCTGAACTGACCTTGATAATGGATTAATATATAAGTACTCAGGACCATTACGTTGTCATAATGATATTGAAATGTAAGGCAAAATTATCTAACTTTTTTAACTCTTATCTAACAAAATTATCTAACTGCTTTTTTTTAATGAAGTATTCTTTATTACTCCCCATCTGATAAATGATTATTTTTAGACATTGGACAATATTCCTTCTTTTAAAATAGCAGTGCATTTCTTGATAGTCATCAAAAATGTACTTTTATAGAATTCTCAAGATTTTGATTTGGGTTTATTTTAGTAATAGGAATTTAATGATGGATTTAATACTTATACCCCCTGCTTGGAAAGTGGGAGCGTATAAAGTTATTGGTTTGTCCGACCGTCCATCCGTCTGCTACCCTTTTTAGGTCACCTGAGTAAACTCAGGTGACCTATTGCTATCTGTTTTCGTCCGTCGTCGTTCGTCGTGCGTCGTTCGTCGTGCGTTAACATTTGAACATTTTCAGCTTCTTCTCTGCAACCACTGAACCAATTTCAACCAAATTTGGTACAAAGCATCTATGGGTGAAGGGGAACAAAAATTGTGAATTTCATGATCCCTGCCCCCCTGGGGCCTGAGGGGTGGGGCCAAAACCACTAAAATTAGTGCAATCTTTAAAAATCTTCTTCTTTACTCCTGGACATCAAGCAGTCAAACTGTTTGCATGATTGTAATCAGCAATGAGTCCTCTACCAAAATTGTGAAATTCATGGCCCTGGGGTCAGGGGTTCTAGTGCTAGGGCGGGGCTAAATAAGTAGGTAGTGAAAATGCATTATTTCTTTGAAAATCTTCTTCTCTGCTCCTGGGTATTAAATAAACCAACTAAGTACATAGTTATGATGAGCAAGAGTGCCTCTTCCAGATTTGTGAATTATATGGCCCCAGGGTCAGGGGTTCTGGTGTTAGGGCGGGGCTCTATAGATTATATAGTGAAAATGCATTATTTCTTTGTAAATCGTCTTCTCTGCTCCTGGGTAGTAAATAAACTAATTAAGCACATAGATATGATGAGCAAGAGTGCCTATTCCAGATTTGTGAATTTTATGGCCCCAGGGTCAGGGGTTCTGGTGTGGGGGGGGGGGGCTATATAGATTACATAGTGAAAATGCAATAATTCTTTGAAAATCTTCTTCTCTGCTCCTGGGTATTAAATAAACTAACTAAGCACATAGTTATGATTAGCAAGACTACCTCTTCAAGATTTGTGAATTTTATGGCCCCAAGGTCAGGGGTTCTGGTGTTAGGGCGGGGCTCTATAGATTATATAGTGAAAATGCATAATTTCTTTGAAAATCTTCTTCTCTGCTCCTGGGTATTAAATAGGCTAACTAAGCACAAAGTTATGATGAGCAAGAGTGCCTCTTCCAGATTTGTGAATTTTATGGCCCCAGGGTCAGGGGTTCTGGTGTTAGGGCGGGGCTCTATAGATTATATAATGAAAATGCAATAATTCTTTGAAAATCTTCTTCTCTGCTCCTGGGTATTAAATAAACTAACTAAGCACATAGTTATGATGAGCAAGACTACCTCTTCAAGATTTGTGAATTTTATGGCCCCAGGGTCAGGGATTCTGGTGTTAGGGCGGGGCTCTATAGATTATATAATGAAAATGCATTTTTTCTTTGAAAATCTTCTTCTCTGCTCCTGGGTATTAAATAAGCTAATTAAGCACATAGTTATGATGAGCAAGAGTGCCTCTTCAAGATTTGTGAATTTTATGGCCCCAGGGTCAGGGGTTCTGGTGTAAGGGCGTGACTCTATAGATTATATAGTGAAAATGCATTTATTCTTTGAAAATCTTCTCTGCTTCTAGGTATTAAATAAACTAACTAAGCACATAGTTATGATGAGCAAGAGTGCTTCTTCCAAAATTTAGAATTTTAAGGCCTCAGGTTTAAGGGTTATGGTGCTAGGGCGGGGCTCTATTGATTATATAGTAAAAATAAATTCTTTGAAAATCTTTTCCTTTGCTCCTGGGTTTTATGCCAATTATCCAAGTATATATATATTTATGATGAAGAAAGGTGCATCTATCAAAGTGGTTTTTTATGCCCCCAGGGTCAGGGGGGGGGGGTTACACAGTCTAAAAATAAATTAATGCTTTGAAATCTGCTCTTTTGTCTTAATCAACCATTTTATGATAACATTTGCAGAATTTTGAAATATGTGGCCCATGGGTCACTGGTTCCTTTAGGGTGAGGTGCACAACTGGGTATAAAGTGGTAGTGCGTTTTTTTCTTTGTTACTCTGATCTACGTCTGGGTATTAAGTAAAAAGAGTAAGCATGCTAAGTTTATAATTATGATAAGCAAGGGTGCCTCTTTCAAAATTGTAAATTGTGAATTTCATGGCCTCTGGTTTAAAACATGAACTAAATTTAATTGTTTGAAAGTTGTTACACAATACTCAGGTGACCTATAAGGCCCGTGGGCCTCTTGTTTTTTTTAATTTTCTCTCCTTTTTTAGAAGGTTTATGTAAAGAGGATCCAGACAGAAGAGTTAGACTTGAAACCAATCCAAAGGACTATTGGTACAATGACAGATTTCTGTCGAACGCCAGTCCTGAAATCAACGGCAACTATGACGGAAGATGTTGTCCAGAAATCTGTGGGAACTGAGACTGATGCAGCAGTACTGCCCTTCAACAAGACACAGACTCGGAGGACAGTTCTGACGAGGAAGATGAAGATTGGCTTCCAGATGATGAATCTGATGATGACTATGATGAAGCAATTGATGAACTGTAAGCATAATATATCTCCATCTTTCTAAACATTTACTATAAATCTATATTTTGTTCTGTTGCTCATTTACTTTATCTTTACTTTGAAGGAAATTTTAATATTATTTTTTTATGTTTCCAAGGGATATCACAGACCATCAAGAAGACCGAGCCCATAGAGAGAGGAAATACATAGTCTATGAGAGTTGCTTGAAAGAACTTTTGTCACCCTGTAGGAGTTGTCAAGAGCATTGCAGAGTTGTGATAAAGAGCAGGCTGGGGTCATTTGTGCGTTTGTTGTCTTCCTGCGTGGCTTGTGGATTTGTGTTCACTTGGGGTAGCCAGCCATTGACTTCCAGGCTACCTTCTGGGGACTTGGAAGTAGCAGGGAGTATTTTATTCTCAGGAGCTAGTGTATCCAAAGCTCTTCAACTATTTAACAATATGAACATTATGTGCATTAGTGAAAGGACATTCAGGAATATTCAGAGTTCATATCTTATCCCTGCAGTGCGGAACGTCTGGATAGAGTACCAGACAGCTGCACTGCAACAGTGTGTTGCCAGAGATGTCAAAGTGGGTGGTGATGCTAGGTGCTGTAGTCCTGGACATTCAGCAAAGTATGGCAGTTATTCAATAATGGACCTTGAAACTGGATTGATCTTAGCAGTTGAATTAGTTCAGGTAAAGCAAAATATGTTTTATATGAATTACCCGGGGGTATTTCATACAATCAATATGCAATATTCCAATACTGCAAATATTAAGTTAAATAGGTCAAAGTATTTAAATGTGTACCAGTATTTAAAAAAAAATAAGTTGGAAAAACTGAAAGACTTCTTCAAATCCTTGTTTTGCAGGTAACAGAGACAGAAAACTCATACAGAATGGAGATGGAAGGTTTGAAGCGTTGTCTTCAGAGTCTTAAAGAAAGGAATGTCCGTATCACTGATCTCACTACAGACAGGCACATGCAAGTGAAGAGTTATATGGCAAAAGAAGAAACCTCAATCAGACATTGGTTTGATGTACGGCATGTTGCCAAAGGTAAATTTATCAAATAAAAATGATGTAAAGTTATGAATATGAATGCTGATAGCAAGTATTTCCAAGTTCATTGTTTTGTGTAATCAATCACATCATTGATATTTCATAATTTTGATGTAGGTATATTCAAGAAACTTCAACTGTTGGCAAAGAAGAAGGGCTGTGAAAAAATCAAAGACTGGTGCCACTCTATCTCGAATTATTTATACTGGTCTGCAGCGACAAGTGATGGTGATCTTGTGGAGGAGAAATGGCTTTCCATTTTGAATCATGTGTGTGATATCCATGAGGGGCATGGGGATAGATTTCAGGCATGTGAGCACCCTCCATTGGCTGATAGATCTTGGATTACCAAAGGTAAAATATCTCCACACTGGTCTTATAATACTCAATCATTATTAGCTTGACTGCAATTACATTACATGACGAAATATTATTGATTAAGTTTCATGTTTGTTGCAAACAATTTACCTTCATATTGAGTTGAACAAACAAAATATCGTGAAAAAAAAGTTTAACGAACAATGGTACTTTATTTTATATTATAATGAATTTGTTTTCATAGGTTCCAAAGCTGACAAAGAGTTGCAGTTAATTGTTGGAAATAAAAGACTTGTGAAGGATGTCAGGAAACTTTCACCGGCACGGCAGACATCACAGCTGGAGGCTTACCACAAGACTGTGTGCCACTTTGCACCAAAGTTTCACCACTTCTTTTATGATGCTATGAAAGCAAGGTAAATTTATTTCATTTTATATCATTAAAATCACAATAAAATTTTGTATAAAACTGTTTTTTAAGTTCTGTGGGCTTAACATAATTACATACATGTATTGAAGTAACTGTAACATTATTTGTAATATCATCTTCAATTTATCAGTATTTTTTTCTTTCATGGTTTAGAATACTTCTTGCTGCAACTCATCAAAATTAAAACACTCAAAGACGACAAGCTGTTACTAAAGGTGGTGAACTAAGATGGAAAGTGGCTTACCCAAAGGCAAAGAAAGGTGATCACACCCTGAAAGCTGTGATGGACACATGTTCATATGGTAATGGAATGTCTAAGGAAATACCATTGTTATTAATAAGATAAACACTGTCATTATAAAGTAAAATCTAAATAACTCAGATAAATTGAAAAAAAAATCCTTAACGAAAATAACATTATGACTGAATTGAATAAGTTTTCTTATTAGTAAATTTAGCTTTTTTCATTTTTTTTAAGAGTATGTAGAGAGATTAATGGAGGAAGCCTTCGACTTAAGGAGAAGACATCCCTCGTATGAGGTAGCTCAAGAGACATTTCGTCAGGAATGCCCACCACCAATGGCTGCTTTTGGTAACCAAGTGGATAAAGGTGAAGCAGTCAGAAGATACCGGACACGTTTTAACCGTTGAAGCTGCTTGTAAGGAATGAAGAGACAGATGTCAGTAATAGTATCACAAACCTCTAGTCCCATTTTCAAATATTTTAATTGTCAAACAAGTTCCTTTAATCTTCTTTGCTTTGGCATGTAAATGAAATACTTTTCCTTGATCATCAGTAATACATGTCATTTTACAGTACAATAATATGGTTGTTTTTTAATATTTATTATACAAAAAAAGCTGCTGCCTTTTGACATTTTGTAAATGTGGCATGTATATGTCTGTACAACAAAGTTAATGTCAATTACATTTTATATTGTTTTAAACAAGATAAAATCACTGTTACACTTTGTCACTTTTTGTCTTTAATAACGCTCAGTAGTCCCTAGGATACTGGAAACCTGTGTACTGCGATAAAGGGAATGAGGTGCGAATGGCACTCACAACACATGCTGGGATCACTTTCCTGATATTCTTACCAAGGCGATGCCACAGCCATCTTGTGTATCTTCTATATGCAATGTAGCGGTAGAGTCTGAAAAAAAATTTAAACCAGTTAAATCAGCACAGAAAAACAAAAATATGATATAAATTTTTGTTGCACAAGGAAGTTTTATCTTTTTATGCTTTCTCATAGACTATTTTGTACCTTTTCATCATAATCAAAACAGAGATACGAATTTATATCAAACATTTTGAGCTGCCTTGTCTAATGACCAGGAATACATATTAACACTTACTCATGCACTGGTTCTTCATCTCCTATTGGGCCATTGTAGTCTAGATACTCGTAGAAGGCGAGTTCGAGGACCAAGAAGAAATGAAATATTTGTCCCTTAATATTTTTTTGTTAAAACACTGGAAAACAATTCAAACTGTGCCAAATTTGAAATTATTTGTCTTCTGGGTAAGTCAGTAATACTGTTGCTTCTAGCGTAGTAGAGGTGGATTGAAAATGAATTTCGATCTGCAATTTGAATCCGATATTTTCCAAACGTCCGCGTCGACGTGTAGCGTAGCTTAGGTGGATTGAAAATGGATTTCGATCTGCAATTTCAATCCGATGTTTTCCGAACGTCCGCGTCGAATTGTACCCGCCCATTACGCTGTCTATCACTGACTGCTTTGATTGTAACAGATAGAAATGACGTAAGCTGTATATTTCTAATTTTGCCAGTTAATGTTCCGCGGTCTTATACGTGTATTGTGAGATATAGAGAACATCATACAATGTGTTTTGAAACCTCTCAAGGGTCAAATAGAGTGAGATTTAAACGATTTAAATGTTTCAAAACATTCAAATTGCTTCCAAATGTAAAATCAAGAACCATATTTGTATTGTGAGATATAACGAAAGCAATACAGTGTGTTTTGAAACCTCTTAAGGGTCAAATAGAGTGAGATTTAAATGATTTAAACTTTTCAAAAAATTTAAATTGCTTCCGATTGTAAAATCAAGCACTGTATTTGTATTGTGAGATATAGAGAACATCATACAATGTGTTTTGAAACCTCTCAAGGGTCAAATAGAGTGAGATTTAAACGATTTAAATGTTTCAAAACATTCAAATTGCTTCCAAATGTAAAATCAAGAACCATATTTGTATTGAGAGATATAAACAACATCATTCAATGTGTTATGAAAACTCTTAAGGGTCAAATAGAGTGAGATTTAAATGATTTAAATTTTTCAAAAAAATTAAATTGCTTCCAAATGTAAAATCAAGTACTATATTTGTATTGTGAGATAAAGGGAACATCATACAATGTGTTTTGAAACCTCTCAAGAGTCAAATAGAGTGAGATTTAAACGATGGATATGGAAATAACGAACAGTATTCATTCTCAACGTCCATTAAACAAATATACAAAGCAAGAGCAGAGCAAGCACGGACCTCCGAAGCATCAGAGGTGGGATCAGGTGCCATGGAGGAGTTAGCATCCCCTGCCGACCGGTCACACCCGCCGTGTGCTCGTTGTCATAATCAGGAAATAACGGAAAAAATCCGTGGTCAATTCAGTGTATAAATAATGGACTAACAATTGGTATGAAAAACGTCAGTCAGCATTTCATTCAATGATAAATTGTATTTGCTGACAAGGTCATTGTATCGACCATAGAATTTACGAAATGATGACTTTAAACGAGACTGTTGATATTCTTGTTTCATCAACTTGCTTGTCAATAATTTACCTCTTTTAAGAAATTGTTCATACGTAGAGCATGGATATTTGTTAAGCTCTGACACAGCCAGTTTAGAATTATATGATGTATTATTTGTTTTAATTAATCCCTACACTGTAAGTCTCTTAGAGATGTATGTACAATATTTTAAACATGATAAGAAATGGAAATCTGTGTCAATCTGTTAATTGCCAACTGACGATAACGCTAAATTCTACCCATTTAGATATGTCGAGTGCTTAAAGAAAGAAGTCGGTTCACTTTATGCATAAAATGGCCCTGTGGATATACCAATTAATTGATCAACACGTGATTTTCTAATTGAAGCATTAAAATAAAATAGAGACTTGGTGCTTTCATATCCCATTAAAATATTTCTCCACAAAGTCCATTTGCAAAGTTCTTGAATTTTTAGGAAAACATGTATAATTGAGTACTTTCAGTGAAGAAAAATATTATGAGCGCACCCTCTGATCTAAATGAGCGCACCCTCTGATCTAAAAAATAAAACATGTCCATGAATCCTCATAAACAATTCTTTCATTTACTAGTTGCATATTTTATATCAAAGGTTGCGCTCTATTTCAAATATCAAAAAATAACTTAAAAATTGACCGTTTTTGTAGACTTTTTCTGAATATGAGCAATATTGACGCATTTCGTGACGTCATAATGCATTGACTAGCCAGAAAATGACGCCATTTTACATAGGATTGGAGTCACCAAAGATTTAAGTAATATTTCAATGCAATGGTAACTAAAACTATGCAGTTTCGGTTTTTAGCTCACCTGAGCCTAAGGCTCAAGTGAGCTTTTCTGATCACATTGTGTCCGTCGTCCGTCCGTCCGTCCGTCCGTCCGTAAACTTTTCTCATTTTCGGCTTCTTCTCAAGAACCACTGGGCCAATTTTGACCAAACTTGGTACAAAGCATCCTTGGGTGAAGGGGAATTTAAATTGTTAAAATGAAGGGACATATCCCCTCGCAAGGGGAGATAAGAAAAGAGAAAAATAGGGTTGGGTCATTAAAAAATCTTCTTCTCAAGAACCACTGGGCCAGTAAAGCTGAAACTTATGTGGAAGTATCCTGGGGTTGTGTAGATTCGAAATTGTTCAAATCATGACCCCCGGGGGAAGGGCGGGGCCACAATGGGGAATCAAAGTTTAATATAGAAATATATAGGAAAAATCTTTGAAAATCTTCTTCTCAAGAACTACTAGGCCAGAAAAGCTGAAACTTATATGGAAGCATCCTGGTATAATGTTGGACTAGTAATTTTATGATACAGACTAGTGAAATTGACTAGCTAAATAGTTTTTGGACCAGTGAATGTTAAGGAAAAATTAAACCCCTGGTCTTTGTCAAAGCGTCCCCTGAATTTGGTCGAAGCGCTTCCTGATTTATGTCAAAACACCCTTTTAGAATTTTACAGTAATATGATATTACAAAACCGCCCCCAAATATTGGCCCAAGCTTCCCCTAAATTTAGTCAATGCGCCCCTTAATTTTGGCCAAAGCACCCCTTACATTTTTTTTTTTTGTAGCAAAAAAAAATCGTCTGGGAATCGCCCCCAAGCAATGGTCAAAACGTCCCTGATTTTTGTCGAAGCTTCCCATGATTTTGTTTTGTATTAATATTTTAATCATTTTTTGGCATACATTTTCACAAAACTGTTACGGATTAAAACTGTTTTGTATTTATACTATCATTATTTGGAAGATACCTGAATACTCTTTAAGGGGTGCTTTGACCAAAATCATGGACACATTTTGACCATTGATTGCAAGGAGATCGACTCAAAACGTTATCCTTTTCCTGTAAAAATATATAATTTAGGGGGAGCTTTGAATAAAATCAGAGGACGCTTTGACCATAACTTGGGGATAGTAAAGATTTGTTTGTATAAAGATTTTTTTCTTTAAAATTATATGGGGCTGCTTTGAATAAAATAAGGGGGCACTTTGAGCAAATTAAGGGGACGCTTTGACCAACATTTGGAAGCAGTATATTTTTCTATGAAAAAATATGTTTGGGGGAGCTTTGACTATAATCATTTATCAAGGGATTCTTTGACCAATACTTGGGGGTGCTTTGACTTACATCAGAGGACGCTTTGACTAAAATAATGGAACGCTTTAACCAGGACGTTTTCATTTGGGGGTGCTTTGACCAGCTCCCAATGTTTAGGTGACTATGGCACATTGGCACCTTGCTTTCTTTTAGCTTTATTAGAAATACAAATGAATCTTTTCACTTCAAAAAACTCTTCTTTAGAAAAAAGCAATTCAAAAAGAAAATTTGTAAACTGAAAAACGTTCACCTATGGTGACACATTACAGTTTAAATTCTATATATTTTTTGAAAAAATAAGATATACGGAAACTCGCTAAGTAAGTTGATGATATGAAGACAGCTTTTATAATGACTCGTTTCAGTCAAAAACATGGGGTGTATCTATGGTTACTCTGTACAGTCAATATTCCATAAAATGAAAAAAAATTCCCAATCAAAGTTGCAAAACTTGAAAAATGTCAAGATATTGGTGACTCGTTTTAAATATGAACATTTTGCATCTATGATGGCTCATTGTAATACATAAAGTGCTTGTTGGTGTAAAAGTCTTTTGGACTCGTTTAAATACCAGACAACATCCCCTTCATTATATGACGTTTTTTCTCTCCTGTCGTAGAATTCTTTCTGTCGTTTAGCTGAACTGGCCAAATGCTTTTTTGCGATCATATGTGAGGTTTGCATTCTTTCACGGAGGAGTTCTACATATTCGCCATAAGATGATATAGTCTTTTTGGCGGTGTCCAGGCTCCAAAAAACAATCTCTGTGGGTAATCTTACTTCTTTC